TGTGTGTCCGTGTGTCCCTCCCTGTATGCGGGTCCCCCTCCATCGATGGATTCCCCTCTCTGTGTGTGGGTCTCTCCCTGTTTGTGGCCCCCCACGCCCATGGGTTCCCTCACCGTCCCCTGCTGTCTAGGGAACGCCGTTCGCCACTGCAGCGGGGAGAAGGGCTGGCTGCCACCAGAGCTCTTCAACTGTACATCGTCCGCCTTCCTGGACCTCAGAGTCATGGTCAGTGGCCAAGAGACCACATGGGGGCCCTGTCAGATGGGGGCAGGGGGAGGCAGGCACTTGCCGGGTGCCTCCCTGCTGGACAGGTCAAGTCGGGTGGGGGCTCATCCCATGTGGGAGAAGCCCACTCTCACCATCTATTCAGGACCCCCAGCCAAGCATCTCTCCAGGACCAGCTCTGGTATTGGTGCCCAGTAAAGGCCAAGGCCCCAGGCCTGGCGGTTTGTACTTGGGTCACACCTGTTTCTCAGCCCACTGTCCTCCCGTCCCCCACCCCACCCCCGTCTAGTGTTTCTTTCCCACTGAAAGCCCAGGCCTGTGTTGCCAAGTCTGTATTGGCTCATGGTGGCCCAGGTGACCACCGGCCTGCTCCGTGGGTTCCGACCACCAGGCCTTCTGCAGCGGGTGGGTGGAGGCTCGTGAGTGACGAGCCGGTCACAGACCACGAGTGTCCCCCACCGAGCTTCACTGTGGGCTGCGGCTGGGCAGCATCCAGGACTATCTCGTAGTTGGGGGTCTCTGGCCAGCAGCCAGCCAGCCAGCCCTGAGTCCCCATCTGCCCCGCTCTCCAGAATGAGAAGCTGAGCCGGAACGAGACGCGGCTGGACGGGGACAGCTCCGTGCGGCTGGCCAAGGCCCTGCACAATGCCACGCGGCACGTGGACACCATGTTCGGCAGCGACATCCGCACCGCCTACCAGCTGCTGGCCCGTGTCCTGCGGCATGAGAGCAGCCAGCGCGGCTTCGATCTGGCGGCCACGCGGGACGCCGGCTTCCACGAGGTGGGCTGGGGCAGGGCAGCAAGCACCACACCCCACCCCACACGGCCACGGGACCCCCGGGCTGAGCAGGACCCGCCCCAGGCAGCGTCCAGGCTGAGGGTCTGGGTGGACGCGTTTGCTCTCCGCTTTGGTTTCTATAACAGGAGAGGCTCAGGGGCCCCGTGGGAAGCTGGCCTGCCCCGGTGCAGCCCTTGCTGGACTCTGGGAGGCCGGGACACTCCCTGGCGACGTCCTGGTGACTTGCTCTGACAGGCTCGGGCTTTCTCCGTCCTGTAGGCAGGTCTGTGTAGATATGAGCTCCGGCAGCTGGGCCGTGACTGTCAGACACGTGGCCACAGGCCCAGGGCTCTCCAGGGCTGAGTCCGTCCCTCTGTCTGTCTGCCCCACAGGACATGGTGGCTGCGGGCAGTGCCCTTCTGGGCCCGGCCACCAGGCCGTCCTGGGAACACATCCAGAGGAGCGAGGGCGGCTCGGTTCACCTGCTGCAGCGCTTTGAGGCCTACCTCAGCACCGTGGCCCGCAACTCCAGGGGGACGTACCTGCGCCCCTTTGTGCTCGTCACCCCCAACATGAGTAAGGAGGCCAGGGGAGGGGGAGGGGCTTGCACAGGCACCCAAACATGAGTACAAGGATGGAGAAGGGCAAAGGATTCTCACAGGCACCCCAGCATGAGTCAGGGGGTGCAAGGACCCTAACATGATTAGTAAGGGGGTCTAAGGAGGGAGAGGTATTCTCATTGGCACCCCAACATGAATAATGGGGTACAAGGACCCTAATGTGAGTAAGGGGTTGCGAAGGGGGGGAGGGATTCTCATCAGCACCTCCAACATGAGTAAAGGGGTGTGGGAAGGGGGGGGAAGAGTTATCATCACACCAACATGAGGAAGATGATGGAAGAAGACACCCCAGCATGAGTAAGGGGGTGCGGGGAGGGGGAGAGGATTCTCATCCTCACCTCCAGTGTGAGTAAAGGGGTGCAGCAAAGGGAAGGAATTCTTAGTGGCACCCCAACATGAGTAGGGAGTGCAGAGTATGGGAAGGGCATCCTCACTAGCTCCCCAGCATGGGTAAGGGGGTGTGGGAGAGAGCGTTCCTGTCAGTACTCCAGCACAAGTCGGGGGCAGGCAGTGTGGCAGGTCTTCCTGGGTTTCCTTCATCTCCCAGCTTGTGTGAGGGTGGACTGGGAGTCCTTGCACACTGATCTCAGTTGACCCACAACCTCAAAGGTTGCTTGTCCCAGGGGCTGGGGGATGATGTACCCTCAGCTTGGCTGCTTGCTTGGAATAGTGTCTCCAGAGCTGTGACCTCATGGGAGGACACGCCCTCCTAAGGGCACATCCATAGTGGGGTGCTGGGGAATCAGGCAGGAGACACTCCTTCCTGGGGACCCAGAGGTGAGGGGAGCATGGTCTGGATGTGGGTGGGACATCTGCCTGAGCAGACACAGCACAGGGCACGCTGGTTCACGGGGCGGGGGGAGCAAGTGACAGCCCTTCTCCGTGGGAAAACCAGTGTCACACAGCTGACGCTGTCCCAGGGTAGCCCCTTGTGAGGGGACAGTCACACAGAGGACTGTCCTTCAGAAGGACTAGCCTGTTGAGTCCCCAGTGGACTCCCCACCTCTTTATCATGGAAGGGCTCAGGTTAGCACCCCTCCAAACAACAGCCTTCAGGAGAATGTTGGGAGGGACATTGCCTCCTCCTGCCCAGAAGACAGACAGGGAGCTGTGGACATCCAGGGTCTGACTGGCCATGCCCTGCTGGGCACAAGCCAGCTCTAGAGCCCCTTGCCCTTGCCCAGGGTTGTGTCCAGGACTTGGGAGGGGGGGGCTGTCCCATGTGCCTATCGGAGTGTCATTGCTACCCATCCCTGCCATCTAAGGGGATGTTAGCTGCCCCAGGTCAAGCTACAGGGCTGGGCCACACTTGTGTATCGAATGCCTGGGGCCACACCTTGTGCAGTGTGTTGTCACACCATTCATGCACATGGCACTTTGCACAAGTGTTTGAAGCCCAGCATATGTAATACCACGCACGTGTGTCAGAGTGTCCACATCTAGCACCATGCGCTCATGTCGCTCCATCACCACGTGTAATACAGTGCGTTTGGGACATCACACACATGTGTGATACCACATACATGGAGGACCGTGTACACAACATAATATAATAATCCTGTGTAATACCATGGTCCAGGGGTACTGTGAACACATGGGTTAAAGCATACATGTTAGAGCATGCACACATGTAACATTGTAATCCTGTGTAATACTGTGGTCCATGGGTACCATGAACACATGGGTTAAAGTATACATGTTGTAACATGCACACATGTAACATTGTAATCCTGTGTAATACCGTGGTCCAGGGGTACCATGAACACATGAGTTAAAACATACATGTCGTAACATGCAGACATGTGACAGACCCTTGTGGCCATGTAGCACCATGCTCACATGCAATATTGCACACATGTGTGACACTATGCATGTGTGTAAAACTATACACAGGTTTTACTAGTTTTCTATTTCTACAATAATGGTCTTAAACAGTATTTGTCCTCACGGGACTGAGTTGGTTCACTCAGCATAATGCTCTCTAGTCCCTCCAAAGTTAGGTAGTGATTTATAAAATCATTGCTCCTGCATGCTGCATAGTATTCCATTGTGTGAATGTAGCATCATTTTTCTTTTCTTTATTAAAAAATTATTTCTCTAAGGGGTGGGGAATATAAGAATGGGTATGGGTGAGGAGGTAATCATGGGGTCACAGAGTTTGATGGGTTGGAGAGGTGGAGGGGATTTGGTGTGAAAGCAATGGAGACAAACTTTGTAGGTAAATTTGTAAAATTTTAAAATAACAGGTGGGGAAGTTAACTGGGGGAGTTTAGCGAAAATGTCCAACAATTAGTCAAATTTGTGCCTTCTAGGTTGCAACACCCCCATGATACATCTTCAAGGATATGAACATGTACAGCCAAGCACAATCAATAAGAGTGCATCTAAATTCCAAAATCAATCTCCATAATAGTCTATGTGTTTCCTACTGTCAAAGGGGCCCTCTAGAGTAGTGAGAGAAGATCTTCACCCTGAAACCCACAGCGTCCCTTTTCAGCAGGAAGTAGCTAAGAGAATACGCCATCCCCTTTTCCTTATGACTCAGGGTGAAGTCTCTCTCAGGGAGGAGTGATAGGGAATGGCAAAGGACACACTGACAAAGAAGATTAATCAGAACTGGCTTTGACAAGCACTGTGGCATTTGGACAAGAACAAACTGGGAGGAGGATAGAGAGAATAGTGCAACAAGGAATGAATGGAAACCCAAAATCTCTGTAAATGTTTATGAAAATTAATAAAATATAGAAAAAAAAGGAAAAAAAAAGGAAAGAATGTCTGGGAAATGTCCAGTGTATAGTAGATGGTTGTTGATTTTTTTTTTTAAAAAAAAGAGGTACCTACTGTTCTTTCCAATAAAGGATTATTACTATAAAAAAAAAAAGAAAATGTCCAACAATGAAAGAATAAAATCCAAGTTTTCTGTAAACTTTCATTAAAATCACAATAAAAAAATTAAGGGAAAACCCCCCTATACACGCGTACTGCCCTGCACACCTGTGACACCGTGCTCAGGTGTGATGATGCCACAGTCATAGGTAACATAGGTAACTCATGTCACACAGTCCTTCTATGTGTAAGATCATACGTGTACCATGGGCCCGCCTGTATCACATGCTGTATGCGGCACTGCACATACCTGTAGCATGTGATCCCACAACGCCTCAGCCCAGCCAACCTCTCTCACTCCTCACCCGTCACAGACTCCAGCCCAGGGGCTCCCAGTCCCCACATTTTCTCCCTCATCCCCCTGAGCGTGGAGAGCAGAAATGTCGCTGCAGCTCATGCCGAGGTCCATCAGTGACTGTGCCCCGGCCGACATGAAAGCGGCAATGTTTCTAGAACATTCCTGAGCGGGAAGAGGGTAGAGTGTGACTGAGTTAAACTGTCCCCACAGTCCTGGCCCTGGACGTCTTCAACAAGTCCAACTTCACGGGCGCCCGGGTGCCGCGGTTCGAGCACGTGCAGGAAGACTACCCCCGAGAGCTGGCATCCTCGGTCTTCTTCCCCCCGGACTTCTTCAAACCGCCCGAGAGGAAGAGAGGTAAAACTGCAGCTGGGCTGCCCTCTGGGTCATGGCTGGGGCACAGTGCTCCACCTCGGCCACCTGTGTCCGGTGTCCAAACTGAGGGACACAGTGTCCGAGCTAGGGGCCCAGTGTCCAAGTGGGGTGCCCAGTGTCCAAGCTAAGGGCACGGTGCTCAGTGTCCGAGCTGAGGAGTATAGTGTCTAAGCTTGGGGCCCGGTGTCCAAACTGATGCCCAGTGTCTGAGCTGGGGGTGAGGACAGTGTCCAAGCTAGGGGTCTGGTGTTCAATCTAGGAGCTCCGTGTCCAAGCTGGGGGACACAGTGTCTGCGTCAGGGGCCCAGTATCCAAACAGGGCTGCCCAGTGTCCAAGCTCAGGGCCTGGTGTCCAAGCCGGGTGCCCGGTCTCTGAGCCGGGATGCCCATCTTTTCCCAAGGCCAGCATTGAAAGGCTTTTGGAGCCCAGCGCTGCTAGTACCATGCCGTTGTTCGGAGTCAGAATCGACCCCCGGACGGCAGGTTTGGGATCCTGGGGTGTAGGGTGACTTCCGCAGAACATGGGACAAGCAGGGGCCACTCTCCTGGACCCCCGAGCAGCGTCCTGTGCCCTGTCCCTAGCTCTCTGCTGCGTCAGCCTGGGTCTGTCACTTCTCAGGCTTAAGCAGGATGCTGCAGGGTGGGCTTCACTTAGACGTGGGGTCACACGTGCCCCTGTGTCATTTGGAGGTCAACTCCTGTGCCACTCGCTGAGTGCTGCAGCCTGGAGGAGTGCCCAAGACCTCATCCCCTGCCTTGCTTCCAGAAGGTCCCACCGCCAGGCCACCCACCAGGAAGGCTGTCCCTGAGCCCCCACACCCGGGGCCCAGCATGGAGAGAGAGGCCAAGCGCCAGAGGAGACACCCCGAGGAGTCCAGCCAGTTCGCTGTTGCCCTGGTCATCATCTACCGGACCATGGGGCAGCTGCTTCCCGAGCGCTATGACCCTGACCGCCGCAGCCTCCGGTAAGAGGGGCGTGGGCCCCCGACGGTCAGTCACGGCCCCCGCCCAAGGAAACAAGCCCTGTCCACTTTGGTCCTGCTCAGCCATTGCCTTCTTGCCCTGGCCCCCTTCTCATCTCCTACCCACAGGGCCCAGCTCCTGGCACACTCCAGAGGTCAGGAAGACCCCAGTGCCTGGGGAGGTCTGGGCAGCGGTCCACTTCACGCAGACCCACACTCAGGGTACTACCAGCAAAGATGGTGGAGATCGGGGTCTGCTCGCAGGAAAGACTTAGGTTTCTAAATTTCCAAAGTCCAAGCTGATCAGAGGTGCCTCCCTCCCACCCTCCTTAGTGGTGACCCTCACACTGGCGTGAAGTATGCCCCCAACCCTGCCCTCACAGGCTGTGGTCAGGGTCAGGAGCAGACAGCCCCCCACCCCATGACAGGTTGCGTTCAGGGCCAGGTGCAGCAGGTCACCATCCTGAGACAGGCTGTGGTCAGGGTGAGATGCCAATAGCCCCCCGTCCCCCCCCCCTTAGTGGTGACCCTCACACTGGCGTGAAGTATGCCCCCAACCCCCCCCCCCCAGGCTGTGGTCAGGGTCAGGAGCAGATGGCCTCCCCCCACCCTGTGACAGGTTGTGGTCAGGGTGAGGTGCTGACACCCTCCCCACCCCAGGCTGTGGTCAGGGCGAGGTAGAGATGGCTCCTGGTCCCTGACAGGTGTCAACAGGCCACCACCCCCTGACAGGCTGTGGTCAAGGTCAGGAGCAAACAGCCCCCCGCCCCCTGACAGGCTGCGGTCAAGGTCAGGTGTAGAAGGCCCTCCTGATCCTTTATGCACACACAGAAGCAAACACTCTGTCCTGTTCCCTCGCAGGCTGCCCAGCCGGCCAGTCATCAACACTGCGGTGGTGAGCGCGGTGGTGTACAGCGAGGGCACCCCGCTGCCGGGCCACCTGGACAGGCCCGTCCTGCTGGAGTTCACCCTCCTGGAGACTGAGGAGCGCACCAAGCCTGCTTGTGTCTTCTGGAACCACTCGACCCCGTGAGTGTGAGCTGGACACCTGCAGGGTCAGCGGGAGGCCTTCTGGGGCCGGAGTGCCCTAGCTGGGCATGCAGGCTCCAGAATCCTGGGGACCTTCTTCCTGGCATCTTGCTCCACTTTCCAGCTCTCCCTGGGGCAAGAGGCTCATCACCAGGGACACCAGAGTTGCCCCAGCCACACGGACGTGTATATATATGCACACAGGTGTACACTCACATACATGCATCCAGAGATAGGTGCACAGAAGTACGTACACACAGACATGTCCACACACAAGTGTGCTCACGTGTGTACACGCACCCTGACACACACATGCCTTAACACACAGAGTGTCATACATAAACATACATAAACACACGCACATGCCCACACGTGTGCACGTGTGCATGAATTCATATACTTGGTCTGCATATATTCAGACTTGTGGGCAACCATAGCACACAGAGACAACACATGCACACATGCCTGCCCGCGCACGTGCACACAGGGACATGGACGCTCACACAGAGGTATACACACACAGAGATCTGTCCATCCTACACACACAGACAGGCACATGCAGGTACCTCGGGACACACGCACGAACAGTGCTCACCTGCAGGGCTCCTGTGAGCCAGTGGCCAGTGCAGGTGCCCCGTCTGCCACCACACAGGGCAGTGGCTTGTGTCCAGCAAACGCACAGGAGGCCGCCTCAGATGCTGACCGGGCGCCTGCCCCTGGCAACAGCGTGTGTCAGACATGTGGGGTCCTCTCGTCAGATGCAGCACCCCTGATCTCAGGAGGGGTAGTTGGGACTCCGCCAGTCCTGAGAGACCATGCCCTGCTCAGATTCCACCTGCTTCAGATGCCACGCCCAGAGGCAATGTGGCCAAAGGTCAGGGCATACAATGGCGCACAATAGTGAACCCGCCAGCATCTGAGTGTCCACCCAGCCAGCCAGAATGTTCTAGAAGAAGACCCTACCTGTTAGCAGAAGTGGAAGGGATGGTTTTATCCAGGGCAGGGGCACGTGAGTCACTGCCTGCCGACTCAACGCTGTGTCCACTTGGTTTCACTCCATTAAGGGGCTGGGTTAGTGGGTTTGTGTCCCGGCTGGGCCCCCGCTCTCCCGGTTTGTATTTCCTCTAATCAGCGGAGGTCTTGCTTCTTGGCTGTGCTGTTTAGAGGGGAGGCTGAGGGGTCCTGAGCAGGAAAACATTGCTGTGAGGCTCTCTCCAGCCAGTAGTCTGGTCAGAAAAGGGGTGCCACCCCTCGGAATTCGGGGAGTGACCCTGAGCGTCCCTCACCCATCTGCACTCCCCCCTCCCCGATGCCAGAATACAGACGCTCCGTGAGAAGGGGCTCGCCGGGAGCAGCAGGGCGGCCCGCAGGCTCAGCCTGGCAGCAGCTGGCATCACGCTGTCATCTGTCTCCTTAACGAGCTGCCGGCGGGCGTGCGGGCGGGCGTGTGGGTCTGGAAGGAGATGGAGGCGGCCCTTCCCTGCAAACGGCTCTCTGAGCTCCTGGCAATTAGCCGCGGCGCCAACGACCTACTGTCCCTTGGTACCGTGCCCGCTGGCCGCAGACCTCACAGCCCTCATCAAACGGTGGTGATCTCACAGCCCATTTCACAGATGAGTAAACTGAGGATCACAGGCAGCCGTGACTTTCCCAGAGTGCGGGAGGGCAGGGCCCCCCCCCAGGTGCCCGAGGCACACCTGGTCCCAGCTCATTATCTGGGGCTTCCCATCAGTGAAACCTGGAAATAATAGAGCCAGACTTCCCATAAAACGCGCACAGCCAGAGACGAGGTGTGAATGCAGGGGGAGGATTTCCGCTCAGGAGGAGGCTTCATGGCTGACTCAACAGGGGGCTCGTGACTCTTGCACAAGGGGCCGGGGGTGGGTGCTGATGGCACGGGAGGCTCTGCTCCAGGCGGCCCTAATTATGATGGACACCTTGCCTCCGAGAGGGGACAGGAGTCTGCTCACACGGGCGTGGCGGTCAGTGCGGCCATTGTCCTCCCAAAGGTGGCAAAGCGTTTGTCTTCAGGTAGATGATGTCACAGGGACACAGGTGAAGGCTAGTCCTGTGTCTTCAGAGTGTCTGTGGGAGCGGTCACTGCCACACCATCCACCAAGGCCAGCGGACAGGATAGTGGCACCTCGGCCTCTCGTGGACAGCAGTCACCACCTTCTTCCCTCTTCCGCAGTGTCGGTGGGACTGGAGGCTGGTCGGGCAAGGGCTGTGAGCTCCTGGCCCGGAACCGAACGCATGTCACCTGCCGGTGCAGCCACCTGAGCAGCTCTGCGGTGCTGATGGACGTGTCAAGGCGCGAGGTGGGCATGGAGATGGACTTCCCAGATCCTACTACCCCCAAGGCCGCCCCCCACCAACCCTGTCCCCCAAGGCCATCCTCCTTCCCTGACCCCACCAAGACCAACCCCCACCAGCCCTGCCCCCAAAGGCTGCCCTCCATCCCTGACCCCCAAGGCCACCCTCCACCAGCCCTGAACCCCAAGGCCGCTCCCCCACTAGCCCTGCCCCCCAAGACCACTTCCTCACCAGTCCTGCCCCCCAAGGCCACCCACACCAACCCTGACCCGCAAGGCCGCCCTCCACCAGCCCTGCTCCCCAGGGCCGCCCCCCTCCATCAGCCCTGACTCCCAGGGCTGCCCTCCACTAGCCCTGCTCCCAAGGCCACCCCTCACCAGCCCCGCCCCTCAAGGCCGGGACCCACCAGCCCTACCAGTGGCTCGGGCACTTCCCACGACCTTACGCTGGTGGACTCCCCTGTCCAGGATCTGTTGACTGTAGTTTATAGGATTTCCATTAGCCCCTTTCAGAGGCTGTCATGGAGCCCAGGCTGTGAATGAAAAACAGAAGAAAGCTTAGCTAGAGACACCCCTCAAATGTGCATTCCATGGGGGTGGGTTTCTCCCTGCTGCATGGAGCTGTCTGAGAGTGAAGCGGGGAACTGATGTGTACAAAGGGGGTGCCTCCCTCCGGCTACCGCTGACACTGGGTCTGAAGACAAAGAGTCCTGGTCCCCAGCTCAGGTGCTGGTGTGTGACGGCTGGCATTTCAAGTGGCTGGAAATTGAGCTGTTTGGGGACCTGGAAGGCACTGTGATGGGGCAGGCTGGCCAAGCCCCCTAGGAGGTCAGCAGGGCTGGTGTGTGTGGAGCCCAGAGCAGAGGCCTGTGTGACCTCTCTGCCACCACATCGCTTTCAGGACGGGGACGTGGCGCAGGCCCTGCCTTTGTCCCCCACGTGTCCGCTCTGGTTTGAAGTGGTCCCGGTTTCTTGCACGTTGTTAAGAGTGAGATGAGGCTGACCAGGGTCATGAAGGGGGGTGGCCCTGACAAGGTGTGAGTCCTTGGTCTCCCCACCAGGTAGTGTGCCTGTGGGCAGGGCCATCTGCATGCAGGGAGCCAGGGCCTGGACTGGCCATTGCTGGGTGCCCTCAGGTCAGCTGGAATGTCCGTTTGGGTGTTCCCAGTCTGGCTGGACTGGCCGTTGCTGGTTACCCCTGTGGCATCTGGACTGGCCATTGCTGGGTGCCCCCAGGTCAGCTGTGACTCTCAGTCACCCCCTCTGTGGACAGAGCACCACACACTTTGCACATCCTCACACTAGCCAGTGTGTCCTATCCAGTCCACGGTGTGGCAGCCACCTCAGTCCGTCTGTGGAGGGAGGGTCCAGCCAGGAGGAGCTTAGTTAGCGGGACCCCGGTGGCAAAGTGCTGACAGGTCAGAGGTCAAATCCACGCGCCACTCCACAGGAGGATGAGTCCGTCAGCTTGTGTTTGGACTTCACCTCAGAGACCCCGAGATCCTGTGGACAGCCCTGCTCTGTCCTCCGTGGTCACACGGAGTTGAGACCCACACTGTGGAGGGAGTTTTGGTTCAGAAACAGTCCTGGTGGCACAGTGGTGAAGCATTCAGTGACTAACCTAACTGTCAGCGGTGTGAAGCCACCCGCTGCTCCGCTTCCGCAGCGGTGACAGCGCGGAACCTTCTGGAGCCTGGGGGCTCTGTCCTGGGGGTGCTGCAGTGGGGTGAACAGGGGTTCGAGCTGAGGAGCTTGGTGGGGCCAGGCATTCACCCAAAGGCCGAGGGCAGTAAAATCCGGAGAAAAAAGGGCAAGCAGGAGTCATAGGCCCCACGCGCCGCGGACCCTCAGAGTCGGAGGCTCCCGCCAGCCCCCAACCAGCACGGGGGCAGGGCTACAGGGCTGTGTGCCTCACCTCTGCAGGGTCACCGTCCAGCAGGGCAGCCGGGGCTGCAGGCCTGGGCACCTCGCCTCTGCAGGGTCACCGTCCAGCAGGGCAGCTGAGTCAGAATGGCCTGGTTAGCGGTGGTCCAGGTCTCCAGGCAGCTGCCTGGTTGTTGGGGTGGGTGCTGCCTCTTGTCACCCTGAGAACCCAGGCACGGTCACGTCGTTTCCTGCCTGGTGAAGGCCCGGCCCGGCCTGCTGGTCTGTCCTTGTGCTGCAGCCTTTCCCAGGCCTGGCGTGGTCACGTGCCTCTCTCACTCCCGCAGCATGGCGAGGTCCTGCCCTTGAAGATTGTCACCTACGCGGCCCTGTCCCTGTCCCTCGCGGCCCTGCTGGTGGCCTTCGTGCTGCTGGCCCTGGCCCGGACACTGCGCTCCAGCCTGCACAGCACCCACCGGAACTGCATCGCCGCTCTCTTCTGCTCCCAGCTGGTCTTCGGGGTCGGCATCAACCAGACAGACAACCCGGTGAGCTGCTGCCCCTCCGCCCACCGTCCTCCCCGGTCCTGGCCACCCTTCGGCTAGGCGGGGCCTGGCCTCCCTGGGATTCTGGCTGCTTGGGTCCCAGCAGGCCGACTTACAACAAGGATGGGAGAGGTCACTCCTTCTGAGACGCTGTGGGGAGCCCGGGCTCTGGGGCCTGACTCCCTCCACAGGCGACTGGGAACCTCAGCGTATGACTGAGCCCCCCGCTCCTGACCCCGACACTGGTGGGGGTGGTCACAGCAGGCCCCTCCCTGACGGGCCTGGCTCTCCCCTCACCCCTCACAGCTCCCATCCCAGGAATGTCCGGGCCTCTGAAATGGTCCAGACCAGGAGAGATGGGCTCTGGGGGGTGGACGATGCTGACGAACAGAGGGCTTTGTTGGAAGAGAGAGTGTGGGGGTGATGGATGGGGGACAGAGAGGGCAGGAGGAGCCTGGGCCTGAGTTTGATCTGCTCACGTGCTGTGCCGTATGGGAGTGGCGGGGTGGCAGGTGGGTGTACCATGTGTCTGTCACGTGGGCGCACGTGTCTGTGTGACTGTTCTTATAGGGGCCTGTGTGTCTTTGTGTGAGTGTCCTGTGTGTGGCTCAGCTCATTGCCTCGGGTCAGGACTGACTCCTAACTGACCTCCTTGGGTCTCTGAGGCTGTCAGTCACACAAGAGGAGGCTGTCCATCTTTCTCTCAGAGCTGCTAGTGGATTCGAACTGGCAGAGAGGTGCTGCCCGTGGGCGAGAAGCACGGCTCCCTGGAGACCACGTCACTGGAGATATGTGGTCTTGTTGTTGTTGTTGTTGTTGTGTGGCGTCAAGTCGGAACTGACTCCTAGCTGACCCTCCCACAGTGTTCAGAGTGAGTCGCACAGGAGGAGAGCGCCCATCTTTCTCTCAGCGAGCAGCTGGGGGATTCAAACCGCCTGCCTCGGAGTTAGCTGCACCGTCCCTTATCCACTGGGCCACCAGAGCTCTTGTGGTGGTGGTTAGATGCTGTTGAGTTGAGTACAGCCCACAGCGACCCTGTGAACAGACGTGAACCCGGCCTCTCCCGGGCCGTCCTCACCATCTCTGACCCCCTTGAGCCCATCGCTGTGGTCACTGTGTGGGTCCATCCAATGCGGGTCTTCCTGTCCATCACTGAGCCGCCACCCTTCCCAGCATAATACCCTTTCCCAAGAAATAGCCTCTCCTAGCACCATGGCCGAAGTTAGGGAGGTGAGGCTTTGCATTCCTTGCCTCCAGGGAGCACTCGGGCTGCACTTTTCCGAGACTGGCCTGTTCGTTCTTTTGGCTGTCCATGGGACAGACTGTCAGTGCCCTGCTCCCACAGGGACCCCAGGACAGCAGGCCGCAGCCCTGCCCCGTGCACGCAGTCTCTGCTCTGCCCAAGCCCGCTGTGCTGCTGCCACTCTGTCAGTCTACTTGGGGTGTCTTCCTCTCTTTCTCTGAGCCGCTGCTTTTCCTGGCATAATGTCCTTCCCCAGGGACACACCCCTGCTGACCACGTGTCCCCAGCTGGTGGGACAAAGACTCAGCATCCTCAAGTCTCAAGAGATTTGGGCTGCGCTTCCCGCACGGCAGATCTCGTTCTTCATGGCGTAGTCAGTATTCTTCGCTGAAGGCCTCCGCTCTTCTTCAGATGGAAGGGCCAAGATGTATAATTAGTTGTGCTTTTGTGTGTCAGTCACAGGGTGTTAGAAAAGATTGTTTGAAAAGTGGAAGATGCTGAAATAGAGATCCCGGGAGCCAACAGCCTGCTAAACGAGTTTGGCTGTGAATGGGAGGCCAGGGCCAGAGAGGGGAGGCGGGCCTGGCAGGGCCTGTGTGAGGACCGAATGAAGGGGCACAGAGAGAGGAGGAGGCACGAGGGAAGGGGACAGGGCCCGGGAGGCGGGGGTGGACGCGGTGGGGGCGGCCCCGGGGCAGCACTAGCTCGTGGCAGCGAGAGCCCAGGACCAGGGGTCTGGTGGCTCCACAGCCCGTCTGCTGGCACGTCCTGGCTTTCTGTTTGCTGCCTGAGGCAGGGACATGCTCTGTGGCTGCTCTGCGAGAGAAAGGCTGAGCCGTCCGGCAGTCTGTTCCTGTAGACTTACCGCCCTGAGACCCTCTGGGCCAGCCCCAGTCCACCCTGGGGGCAGCTCAGAGCTGGAACCCACTCGATGGGGTGGGTGGGGTAGGTGTTGTTCCACCGGGACTGTTTTCCAAGATGTGCTTCAGGTGACAGCCTGAGGAGGGGAGCTGCAAGTGGGTGTGGGGAGGGGACCGGCCGGAGCTGGACTGACCACGTGCTCCGGGCTCCTCACCCAGCAGGGCTTGTGGGGGCCACAGGGGTGGTGGCATCTGCTGGAGGCCACAGACAGGGAATGGGCAGACGGACATCCGTGCACAGGGATGATGGCCCTTCCCTAGCCTGCCCCAGGTCACTCTGTGATGTCGTGTGTCCCTCATGGAATAGTGGCCCTATGAGCAAGACAGGCTGACCATGACACCCACACATGCAGTGACTCCGCTCAGTCCTCACCCTGCCCTCTCCCAGGGCCGGTGACAGCCGTGACACTCAGTACAGTCGGTTTGAGGAAGGGACACCCACCCGCCTGGCCTGTCTGAGGGAGGACGAGGCCTTCAGCCTCCCTACAGTGCACAGCCTTGAACCCCCTCGGGGGCAGTTCTGTTCTGTCCCTCAGGGTCATTGCGGGTTGGCCTCGACACGGCTGCACTATCCTGGGCTGGACCTAGGCTCTGGGTCACAGGACCTTCCACTTCCACGGGAGAGGGCTCAGCGACGTGGTGTCAGGGCCTGGTTTAGCCCAGCAGAGCGGGTGCAAGCCCAGTGGCCCAAGTGGTCAGAAGGTAAAATCAGCTCCTGTTGGCAGCCGAGGGGCAGGGCACTGTGGTGTCGCTGTCCACAGGCCACCTTGACCGGAAACTCTGGCTGGGATGTGGCGGAGGACGGGAACAGCCGTGATGGGCACCAAGGGCCCGTGGTGGGGAGGTCTCACAGCTGCCTCCCTCCGTCCTGCTGGCCAGGGCCCCTCTGTGGCCCCAGCAGAAACGACACTGGTTTGGAGGAAAAAAGGCAAGAGGATTTCTTTCCTCAACCAGCGGGAAAAGTAGACCTGGAAAATCGGTGTTGGGAGAAGTGAGTGTTAGAAACAAGACTTAGCGCCTGTGCACATGCAGCCTCCCGCGTCCGCAGTCCCGTCTTTTCCAGAAGAACCAAGAGCACCCTGCTGCCCAGTCCCTACACCCCCCCGTGAGCTGTGGGCTGAAGCGAGGCCGGGTGGGGGTGCCAAGCCCCAGGGGTGCACCCCCAGGTCCTCACTCTCCCCCCTGCTCACCCCTCAGAAGTCTCCGCAGGAAGCCAGCCTCTGAGGGTCCCTTCCCCAGACCACACCTCGCTGTGCGCTCTGGGATAAGTCGTGGGTGCCACAAAGCCTTTTGCTTGCTGGGGGTACTGGGCGGGGAGAGTGGGGCTGTGGGAGGTGCAGGCTGGACGTGGAGAGTCCTCCACTGTGCACCTCGCCGGCCTGTGCTAGTGGGAGCACCCCGTACCTGTCCAGGCAGTCACCCTGGTTGTGGGGAGTGCCCAGAGGGCAGCGAGGTTCGTCCTGCTTGTTAAGCCCATGTGTCCACACTGGGCACTGAGACACCGTTAAGCCCGTCAGTGGAACCTCCTCTAGGCCGTGTGCCAGCCACGGTCCTGCCTGTACCAGGGAGCGTGCTGAGGTCCTGCCTGCAAAGATCAAGGGGGGATTTAAGGTGCATGGGGTCCAGTGGGGAGCCAGGAGACGCCACCTGTCTGTCCACTCCACTTCCTCTCCTGGGGCCTGCCCGCGTGACAGCACTACCGCTCTGTGCACACCCCCCACAAGGGTGTGTCCATCCACACTGTCCCTCCACCTGTCTAATCTCAGCCCCGGACATCCTCACCGTTCCTCCTTCGTCATCCAGCCCACCCACCCTCCCTCCCATCCTCCCTCACGGAGCCTTAAAACCCGTGTCATCAGGTTGGTTGTGATGCAGAATGACCCTCTATTGGGTTTCTGAGGCTCATTCATCCTCCTCAGAGGATGGTGGATTCGAACCACTGACCTTCTCTTCAGCAACCAGACACCCCAAGCACTGCGCCACCAGAGTTCCTGAGGAGGCCACAGTCATGGGCTCCTGGTGGACCTGACTCTCCCTATGTTGCATCTGCTCCCTGGGCTGAGTGTGGAGCTCTGGTCTCTGCCCTCACCCCTCACCTCCACTCACCGCCAGGAGCAGTTCTCCAAACAGACCTCACCGGAGCTCTTGGTGGGAGTCCGTGGCCCGCGAGAGGAAGATGGCACACTGTGGTGTGACCCCTCGGGCCTTGGGTGACCCAGTCTACCATCTGTCCTGACTTGTCCTTTTCCCTTCACCTCAGTGACCTGCTCACACAGGTTCTGCCCAACATCCTCCACCATGACATTTGACACTTGACATTCACATTCCATCATTCAAGAGGTGCCTGGGAGGTGGGGTCCCCTGAGGGCAGGCCTGGGAAGTGGGGTCCCTGAGGGCAGGCCTGGGAAGTGGGGTCCCTTGAGGGCAGGCCTGGGAAGTGGGGTCCCTGAGGACAGGTCTGGAAGGTGGTGTCCCTGAGGACAGGTCTGGAAGGTGGACCCCCTGAGGGTAGGTCTGGGAGGTGGACCCCCTGAGGGTAGGTCTGGAAGGTGGACCCCCTGAGGGTAGGTCTGGGAGGTGTTCCTACACCCGGGCCGTTGGTAGCTTGAATGTGGTGACAGTCCAGAACTGCTGTGCCAGCCACTCGTGGTGGCCGTGCCCCCTGCCTCAATCAGACAGTACCGGGAGTCATGGCCGTCACTGGCCCTGGGAGAGGGCGGGGTGAGGACAGAGCAGATTCACTGCACATGCAGGTGTCACAGTCAGCCTGTCTGGCTCATAAGGCCTCTATTCCATGAGGGGCACATGACATCATGCACAGTGACCTGGGGCAGGCTAGGGAAGGGCCATGGTCCCTGTGTGTGGATGTCCGTCTGTCCCCTGCACCATGGCCTCAGGCAGATGGCCCACCCGAGAAAGCCTGCCGGGTGAGGAGCCCGGAGCACGTGGCTCACCCAGTTCTCAGTCCACTCCGGGTCCAGCTCCCAGCTGGCCCCCTTCCCACACCCACCCGTAACTCCCCTCCAGCCAGCCATCGCCTTAAGTGCGTTTAGAATCATTCTTCTGGTCAAACCTCGCCCAACTCGCCCAACCCATCAAGTGGGTCCAGCTCCAAGCTCCCCACCCAGCAGCCCCCGGGGGTGGCGTGGGGCCCGCGCAGAGGGTCCCAGGGCTGTGAGTCTGCAGGAAGAGGCAGCCTCATCTTTCTCAGAGAGGCTGGTAGCTTGGAAATGCCGACCATTCAGTTAGCAATTGAATGCTTTCACCCACAGCCCTACCAAGACTCCTTAACTCACTGCAGCTGCGTGGCGGGTGGAGGGCAGGCCGGGTGTGTGGGCACAGGAGTGGGCAGTTGGCCACCGGCAGCATCGCCCCCACAGTGTTTTCAAGCTTTAATTGAAATGCTCATGTGAAAAAACAGCCGCGTTCTTTCACTGCCGGGACGTAGGGGGAAGCTTAGGGGAGCCGAGACCTTGTGATGGGCAGTGCCATGTGCCCCTGAACCCAATGGAGAAGACCCCGCATCTCCTCCCCCTGCAGAAGCCACCCTCCCAGTGGCTCCCGAGCCCCGCCCTGCGGCCACGTCCAGCTGCAGCGGGCCCCGCTGACCACCTGTCCCACTGACCAGCCTGCCCCTCTGACCAGCCCGCCCCGCTGACCACCTTGCCCCGCTGACCAGCCTGCCCCACTGACCGCCTGCCCCTCTGACCAGCCTGCCCCGCTGACTGCCTGCCCCTCTGACCAGCCTGCCCCGCTGACTGCCTGCCCCTCTGACCAGCCTGCCCCGCAGACTGCCTGCCCCTCTGACCGGCCTGCCCCGCTGACCACCTGCTCCGCTGATCGCCTGCCCCGCTGACCGCCTGCTCCGCTGATCGCCTGCCCCGCTGACCGCCTGCTCCGCTGATTGCCTGCCCCGCTGACCGCCTGCCCCGCTGACCAGCCTGCCCCACTGACCAGCCTGCCCCTCTGACCAGCCTGCCCCACTGACTGACTGCCCCACTGACCAGCCTGCCCCTCTGACCAGCCCGCCCCACTGACTGACTGCCCCTCTGACCAGCCTGCCCCACTGACCGCCTACCCCTCTGACCGGCCTACCCTGCTGACTGCCTGCCCCTCTGACCGGCCTGCCCCTCTGACCAGCCTGCCCCGCTGACCACCTGCCCCGCTGACCGCCTGCCCCTCTGACCAGCCTGCCCCTCTGACCAGCCTGCCCCACTGACCGCCTGCCCCTTTGCTGCAGTTCGTGTGCACGGTCATCGCCATCCTCCTGCACTACGCCCACATGAGCACCTTCGCCTGGACCTTTGTGGAGAGCCTGCATGTGTACCGCATGCTGACCGAGGCCCGCAACATCGACTCGGGGCCGCTGCGCTTCTACTACGTGGTGGGCTGGGGTGTCCCTGCCGTCATCACAGGTGAGCCTGGTGGCCCTCAGAGGACAGGCAGCACTAACCCCTCTGCTCATTGTGGTCCCCGTGTCCTTGTGACACCAGCACCCATGTCCAGGGAACCAGCCTCCTGGGGTCAGTGTCTTTCATGCTCTGAAGCCCCACAGAGGGCTCCTGTCTGCTTGCCCATCTGCGCCATGAACTTGCCCTGCCTTCAGCCTCTGTTCCCAGCACCTAACAGACAAAGTTCAGGGGTTGCCTCCTGCTCGTATAGGTGTGAACAGTGCGGGGTGTGTGTCTGCAGGTGTGTGAGCACATGATGCTGGGATGTGCAGGCGTCCTCCACGCACCCTCAGCTCTGTGTCCTGGCCCCTCCAGTACCTTTGGTATCCTCAGGTCTCAGCAGCTGACCCATGGGGGTCTCCCAAGCCCCTCACACTAGCCCACCCGGGCCCACATGGGCAGGCTGTGATTTGATGCCCCAGGGACTTAGCCCAGAGCCCCCAGTGGGATCTGAGGATGATGGTGGGATTCATTTTCTCACCTCCCTGCTGTGTCCAGGGCTGGCTGTGGGCCTGGATCCCCAGGGCTACGGGAACCCCGACTTCTGCTGGCTGTCCCTGAGGGACACACTCATCTGGAGCTTTGCGGGGCCCATCGGAGCTGTGATGATGGTGAGAGGGGAACGCTGGCCGTGCAGGGCTGTGGGCACTGGGGCCGTAGCTGTCCGGGGCTGGTGTAATAGTCACCCACGCCACCAGATGGGCCCTCCACACGGGGCTGTGGGCACTGGGGTCGTAGCTGTCCGGGGCTGGGCAGCTGTAATGGTCACCCACACCACCAGATGAGCCCCTATGCGAGGCTGTGGGCACCGGGCTGAGGCTGTCCGGGTTTGGGCAGCTGTAATGGTCACCCATGCCTCCAGATTGGCGCCTCATGCGGGGCTGTGGGCACCAGGGCTGTGGCGGTCCCAGGCTGGACAGCTGTAATGGTCACCCACACCTCCAGATGGGCCCCCTGCCTCATCTGCAGAGCCGTGACTCAGGGCTTTGGGCACTTTGACAAGCTGGCACCCTGCCTGGGGATAGCCTGATGGGGCGTGGCCAGGAACCTGGCCTCCCAGGACTGTCCTTGGGTGCGGGGGTGGGGGGGGATCCTCGGGAGCGCTGGGCTCCTGAAGCCTCCACTTAGCAAGACGAGGGGTCACCCGTGTTTCTCTCCCCAGATCAATACAGTCATTTTCGTGCTGTCCGCTAAGGTCTCCTGCCAAAGAAAGCAGCACTACTACGAGAGAAAGGGGGTCGTGTAAGTCAGCACCCACTGACCAGGCCCACAACCCCCTGTGTACATGTGGCAGGGGCCCCTGGACAAGGCCGCTCGCCTTTCCCTGCCCCAGCCCCTGAGCCCTCCCCCCGACCTGCTGGACCCCTGTGGGGGTGTGGCATGACACTGTTACAGATGGGGAGACTGAGGCAAGGCGATGGGAGGGGGGTGGAAGGCCCTGTGACCTTGTGAGGGGCGTAGCCTGTCACCCCCTGTTAAGGGGGGAGAAGGGGTGTCCTGTGTGATGGGCGGGAGGAGGACACAGACCTGTCCCCCCAGCTCCCTGCTCAGGACGTCCTACCTGCTGCTGTTGCTCATCAGCGCCACCTGGCTACTGGGGTTGCTGGCCGTGAACCGGGACTCGCTGGCCTTCCACTACCTCTTCGCCGTCTTCAGCTGCTTGGAGGTGGGTGTGTGGGGCTGTGGGAGCCCAGGGTCAGGGGCCATGTCCTCATTACCCAGGACAGACAGCTGATGCTTGGGAATGACAGAGCTCTCCCCACCCCGGTCTCCTCACGCACTCGGGGACTCAGCCAGCTCCGTCCACAGCCCCCGGTGCCCGTCCTCACCCCCCACATGCTGAGGAGCCCTTTGCTCAACTTGCCGTATTTGGGATGGTGAACCCGGACAGGCAGTGTGAACTTCTCCACGGGGTCTCAGACATTCACAGTCACCCTGGGCCCTTTGGGAGCTGAAGGCCTGAGGGCTGGGGAGGGGGTCCTGGCAGCCAAGGGTGAGAGGGATGCATCAGGGGGTCCTTGGAGTAGAGGGTCCACAGACTGGGGAGGGGGTCCTGGGAGCAGAGGGCCAGAGGGCTGCGTCAGGGGTCCTGGGAGCCGAGGGCCCGAGGGCTGCATCAGGGATCCTGGGAGCCAAGGGCCCGAGGGCTGCATCAGGGGTCCTGAGAGCAGAGGGCCAGAGGGCTGCATCAGGGGTCCTGGGAGCAGAGGGTCCACAGACTGGGGAGGGGGTCCTGGGAGC